GTCTTCTTGAGCTCCGTGACCCAATTGTTCCATTGAACAAGCCTGGACTTTTTGTCTGCCATTGCTTTTCTTGTCCGGGCTTCCGCTTTGCGAACCTGGTTGATGGCCCTCTGTAAGGCGGTGGCGTAGCTGTCCCCATCTCGCTCCTTGACGGTGGCCACCTCGGAAATGTGTTGCTCCTCCTTCCGAGCAACGTCGTAGCCTGGGAAGCTGAGGGAGGCTTTCCCTTCTTGGCCCTTCCCTTGGTTCTTCTTCCATGGCGCACCCTTGGAGTATTGGGATGGTGACCAAGATCCCTGCCAGTACTGCCACCGTCCAGAGCCTTTGGAAGGCCCAGCGTCGCCCTTGCTGCCTGCATGCTTGCCTGCGGTGTTCCTCCATGCCATTAGTCCGGCGGCCTGTGACGATGGAGTCGCGTGGTGAAGCAGGAGCCTCTGACGATCCAGCCAGGTAGAGGTGCCCAGTCGAAGACGGAGTCTGGCAGTGGCACGATGCTTCCGCTTCCGTCTGTGCCAGGTAGGGGAGCAGAGTATGGCGGCGCACGACGCTACCGATTGGTAGCTGGGGTTCGAGCAATCTACCCTGAGTGTTCTCGAGCCCTCCCAATATAACCCCAATATAAACCAAGGTTGTTCATCTGGAAGCATCCCGGAGCTCTTCCGAGAAGCTGCCTGCCAGGCCCACTGGCTTGGGGGGCGGCGGAGGAGGAGTGGTTGGGTTGCTGTTAAGGAACTTAATGTAAGTTACCGTAATGGGTATATATAGTAAATAATAGGGTTTCCCCAACATAGTAACTTAATTTAAGTTACCATAATGGGTATATATCTATATATATATAGTAAATGATAGGGTTTCCTCAATTAAGTTCCTTAACAGCAACCCAGGTGGGAGCAGTAGTACTCGTAGTAGCCGTAGCAGTTAGCAGTACTAGTACAAGCAGTAGTACTACTATCTCATATGAGTTTTGGGACCATCTGCTACGTTCCCCTCGAAGCTATACAGGTTCCGCAAAGCCTAAGTTCCTTGTGGCCTAGGGTCGCCGTGCCCCTAGTTCTGCACTGTTGACCCTACTATGGACAGGAACAAAAATCGAATTTCCCACTTCCACTGGTTGGAAGAGATTCTCTCCATGATCGTGGAGAACAAGTGCAAGGCGGCTAGGGGGGTCTGATAGTCTCTGTAGTATCAGGAAGGCGCTCAATCCTGTTCTGCTACACAGAAAATACTATTGCATTGCTGCAACTTCTGGGAGCAACCGTTCGAAGTCCGGAAACGAAAATCTAAGGCACCTAAGGCACAAAGCCAAAGTCAAAGCCAAAGTCACGTTGGATAGCACTCCCCCCGTGGCGACAGGGAGTTTCAACCTGCATCGAGAGCCGGCGTCGCGGGACCCCGCTCTTTGTGGTTGCTGGTGCCGTGCCCAGCAGTCTAAGTAGCTGCAAGAGCCGGCATCCAGCCAGGACCAGCGAGGTCTCACACGCTGCCGGTTTTTCTCAGCTTCCAACCCGCAAGCTGCCAGGTGTTTGCCCCAACAGCCTTTGTGGAATGCAAGCGGTCATGTACTGCAAGGCTCGCAAAAGCTCGCACGGATGCTGTTTACACCCGCGCATGTTGCTTTCCCTAAATTTCCTTGAATTGCATTGCCTCAGTTTGACAAAGACCTTGACTTCTGGTGGGTGAAGCCGAAGGCCTGGTGGCAGCACCAACCGACACTGCTGGCTGTAGGTGTGCAGGCATCAGCAGCGCAAGTCTTTGCACTTAGGCAGCCGGGCCAAGTGGGAGAAACTTCGCACGTGTTGAATATTTCTGCTGTAAAAGGCCGAGAAGCCGAGCCAGCTAGAGCGCAACACGCTGGATCTGCACAAGGAGGCCAAGCTACTGTATTGGCTTGAGACTTCCCAGCGCGGCTTTTCCAAGTGCAAGTTTCCTTTCGTGATGGCAGATCCGCGGCTTTAGCCGCATACAAGTGTCATCCGTGTCTGACAGCTCCGGCTTCTGTCGCAGGGCAAATATCGAAATGCATCGGGAAAGTCCCGAGCTTTGTACTTGCCACTTGCGGAGAAGTTTGCTGGAAGTAAGGCGGCTGGCCTGCAAGACACACAAGATGCAAGCTCCATTTAGCTGGCTTACACTTAGAAGCTGCAGGGCTGCTATACAGAGCAGCCCACCTAGTTGGGCGCAAGCTTAAGATTCAAAATGACACGAGCTCTTATAGACTGCCGGCTCGGCTGCAAGCAAACCTCAAGGAAGGTTCCTTTGAATTTGGCGTGGACGAGCTGGGCCGTGCCTTCATCGATGAAACAACAGCTACGGGCCGCTGTCGGATGTTGCTTTACCTAGTGTGGCAGGACCTGCCAGCCTTGCCATTCTTTTGAAAGAGACTCGTGTACTTGTTGTCTCACCCAGTTACAGGTATAGGGTGTTGGATGCTGTTCCGATCCCATATTGGCTCTGCTTCCTGCCGCAAGGAGAATTGGAGTAGCTTTTTCGCCTACAACAAGTTTATTGAGGCAGTGGGTGGGAAGCGGTTTCAGCCAGAAGTTTTCTCAAAGAAGCACAAAATCGGCGACGACATTGACAGGGGAAGCTCATCTACCAGCGCGGAAAGCCCTGGGAATGCCCTGAGAGCCAGGCCGCCATCAAATGAGAAGGTTGTGGCTGTTGGAGATCTCATTTTCTTTTTGTTCAAAATCGACTGTTCTTCCTGCCTTATGTAACAACACTCATGATGTAATGGGGCCCGGAACTCCATCAACTTCGCTGTTTTGCTACAAGTGGGTGGCAAAACCTTCAGCCTCTGAGTCTCCAAGCCGTCCACAGGCCAAGAGCACCGCGCCGTTCTTTGCCCGGCAGTACCGTCTCGAAGGCTTGTGCAGCTTGCGATGCGGAACCATGTCGATGTTCGCAAGACCCGGTGGCTATGTGATATGAGCATGGTCGATACATCGTGATCCTAGCACCTTCCGCAGTGATGCACAAACCTGGGTGCGGGGGCAGCTTGCGGTTTCTCAGGCTGTGGTCTCGAATGCTATTGAATGGCTCCCAACATCCTGCGCTTACATGTGAAGTAGCCTAGCTAAGCTCATTGAAAAGTAAACGTGAAAACAATATACGCCTTCAATCACTAACCCTAAACTTGTGTACTGGTAAGCTCAGATCAGGTGGAGGCCTGTCCATCGCAGGGGTCGAGACCGAGGAGACTGTGCTGTCTTTACTGCCGCCCGATGTCTGCCAGGCGCCATCACATGGACGTACATAATTGTATCTGGGTAACACACGTGTCATGCAATTATTGTGGTTCGAACTAAAAGAAAAGTTATCACTAAACATGCAGCAATCAGCGGACGTATGCCCCATCATATATCTGAATCGGTTCACACTGTTTTTGTGGAAAAACTGTTAACCTGTATGTTGTAATGTAGATGGAGCTACTAAAAGCATGATACCCAAATGCTATTTTGCTCACCCAAATGCCGTTTTCACCGAAGTAGTCGTCTGAGACCCATCGGCATGTGTCATACTTCAGCTTTTTCGCAGACCTGCGAAATTGCCTCGTTAATGCGTCTCCAGCACGTGAGGAGTTCGAAAGAAATTCTTGTGCTTCTTGTCTGCCAGGAGATGTTTTCAATGTGACCTCTTTCAGCATTTTCCGCGACATACGTGCGCGAGGAACTCCCGAGCAGCTGTAAAGCCCTCCAACTTCTCGGGAAAGCCAAACACCAGATGGCTACCTTTTGTTATTTTGGACTTTGCATTTTTTCGTGCAGGTCCGTCCTGCTGGGAGTCTCATTTCTCAGCTGAAATGTCAATACTTTGTGTAGGGATGTGCCCCTCCAACGACCCCAGCAGGGTCCGAACAGTTAGGGATGACGAGACCTTCCCACCAAACAAGGGGCCTTGCCTCAATCTTGAAGAAAGGTTGTGAGTCCTTTAAATGGGGGTGTTGTCTTGTCGACCCTGAATCCTTTGCGAGAAATCCTTTAGGCTGACGTCCTGCTGCTGAGCAGCGGACTTGCCACAAAGCCAGCAGAAAAGGCTGTGATCGACCGTAAGCGTCCGAAAATCAGTTGCAACATTCTGAGAGCAAGGCCCTAAATCTTTTGCAGGTGTCTTGGAGCTTGCATGTCACCTTGTTCGCCTACTTACTCGCTGCGTGCCGCTACCTTCTGGCTCCCTGGAGTTTGCAATCGGCCCAAGCGCTGATCCCTCTGCCACGGCAAGTGCAGGCCTGTAGGACACTGATACACCATCGAGAACTAGTTAGGATAGTCTGGAAAGGTTGCATTGCAAACTGCCAGTGTGTCGTTGCAAAGGTGGTAGAGCTTGATTCGGCGGAGATACACTTGTGCAAGCACGCCAGGCAAGAGTTTGTTGGGCGTGTTTCAGGACACTTGCTGCCTTGATCTGTGCTTAGTTGTGCTTGTTGGTCGTGTGCTTTCGAGAAAGATGTCATTTTCAGGACGACCACTGCAGCCACTTGACCATGGAGGGCGTTCTAACCTCAGTCAAAGAGCTCACACAGTTTTTTGTCGGTTCTCACTGGAGCAATTACGAGGCTGATTCCTGCACATTGTCCCCTATCTGTCCGGGCAAGGTTGGGGCATCCAAGCATGTGACGCTTCTTCGGCATCGCCTCCTTCAGCTGTCTCAGCTAGGGTGAATTTCTCAATGTTCTTGTGAAGGTCACCAGCTCCAATGTTGAGGGCCCGACTCTTGGCACTGCTTGAATTCTTCGGCATTGGTCAAAAGCTCCTGGCATGCCTTCTCTTACATCTCAGTCTCGAAAAAGGTTCCAGCCACTGTAGATACTCAAGTGACCTTTCCAGCCCGAGCCGCTAGAGCCCCTACTCCACTTTTGTTGCGTTTTTGCTACCTGAATTTTCCTGTCTTATCGCTTTCCCAGAGCATGTTGTTGCGTTCCGTTATGAATATCGCAGTCCCAACCTGTTGGTATTACCGTGCAACCGAATGTATGTGAAGCCGGACTTCCTCGACTTGCAAGGTACCCCTTTCCCATCTTGAATTGTCGGTGCATCCCTCGTCACTCGAGCTTTTTCGATGCTCTCAAGATTGCTACGATGCATCTAGTGGACTTCCAAGGGCTGGGAAAAGTCCACAAGTCTTGTTCGCCTTTCAAGCATCCTTTCATTCAGAGGGAAGATGGCGTAGTGTCTTCCCAGGTGTCTCTGCTGATGGCAAGCCTCAGCTTCCGGCGGTCGCTGCAAAGAATGCGAGGCAGGGATTGCTTTTTTGCAACGTCTACTCTTAGATCTTTGTGCTTTTGATTCATACATGCGGTGCTCCCATCCGTTGTCGCCTTTCAATCGGGGTTGGAAGTTGAGATTTCCATTCGCTTTGTCATAGACGTAGATCGGTGCGGGCTGCGCGATCATAGAGCATCTGACCAGGTCACGGTGGGCCCAAAACATCTGTAAGATCATTTGATTTTGAAAAATGTCTCAGCATATACCCCCCGGTCAAAACTTAAAACAGGGGCCCATGTTTTCGAGAATGCCGCATGCGGAACGCAAAGCTTCAAGTCAGGAATCAGAATAGCCGCGCTCAGCGCCGTCGAACCGCCACAGACTGTGCTACGCAGGAGGTGGCATGGACTCTGTGATTATAGTCCCCCTTAAGTAGATAGAATATGGCTTAGGGTATACTATAATAAGATCCCCATATACCCCATATTCTATCTATTTAAGGGGGACTATAAGGTTGCAAGTTTGGGGGACTCATGAGTTTGCAGCCATTGTGGGCTTCATGCGCTGTAGAACAACTGCAGGCATGGTGAGCTTACAGATCTTACAGTGGCAGTGGAGATTAATGGTGCAGGTTCAGATCTGAAAGTGTATTTTGGCAAGCTGATGCCTAGATTGAAGTCACCTGGACACTGATTCTGAGAAATGTCTTTCGCGTTGCGAGAAATTCGCACAAAAGTGCACCCCGCGCCGCAAGCTTCATCTCGTTTTCGGCGTAATGTCATGACAATGGTCATGTTGACTAGCAATGCTAGTGCCAGGACCAGTGCCACCCCAGGAAGATCTTCATCGGTGGTCTCGCGCACAAGCACGGCACTCGGTGAAGGATGAAAAAAGCTTGAAGACCAATCGTGCTTCAGCACTGACTGGACACACGAGCCAGAGAGCTCTTGGATGTCCCTTTCAAAAGAGCCCGAGAAACTGAGGACTACGACTCAACACCTTCGGGACTACTTTGTGGGGCCAGACATGGTTTTGCATGTGCCTATTTGCTGGCAATGATGAGGGCCGTAGTCACGTTGCTGCTTATGACGTTCTTGCACACGCATCAGCCCAGCCGGAGAGATTAATTCGTTTAAGATTCGGAGACGTGTGGAGTGCATCTAGCCAGGTCAAGTATGGCGGGATTGTGGATGCAGTGGTCCTGCCGGGAGCTCTCTCTGGCCTTTGCATTGCTCATGAATCTGCCTTCGCAAAAATCATGAAGCAAGTGCACTCCCTAACCTTGTGCCCAGATCGGCGACGTGGGTTGTATTCACATACATGAATGCAGTGCACGTTTAGTGGCTTTAATCCTCAAACCCAGAGGTCTGGTACGGACGAGTCAATCTTTCAGAAGGATTCAATTCGGAAGCTTTGGGTGGGAGACCAGCACACTAGTCCAGCCACCATTTCTGAATTTTCTCGGCTTTAGACTTTAGAGGGTTTATGTGAGGATTATGCGAGACGTGTTGGACTGTGGATTCAGGCGCTGGCCGGATGGGCGCTCCCGTGGCTTCGGCTACGTCACTTTCTCCGAGGAGGGACCTGGCACCGTTCTTTCGAAGGAAAGGGCCCTTTAGGGCTCTTTATATGAACATGCTTGGGATGCCGGAATTTCATATTCGGTCTCTGGCCCAACACAAGCCTGAGCTTGCAGCTGTGGGGGATGTGGAGACTAATCGCCGCTCTTGGATGTTCCTGTGTGGGATCCTGTCTGGACTGCCAGGCTCAAGGCGCTCAGGGGGCATTAAACGACGCGCACCAGGCCTCTTGTGTCACCCAGATCCTTGCTGCAATTTCAGAAGATGAAGATGCATCAATGGAATCAAGCCCTGCAGATTGGGGGCCGACAAGTGGACGTGAAGAGGGCTGTGTCTGCCTGGCATGCTTTGCATCTGCAGTTGCAATCTTGGTTGAGGTAAATCTCCGCATGTTCTGCTTTGGGCTTGCGCATAGCACTACAGACCATAGTTTTGTTTTTGCAAAGGTTCTGAAACCCCAGGCGCGACTTACAAGAAGCCTGAGATGAGAAACTTGTGCTCAGGCCTGGCACAAACAAGCTCTTTGTTGGGGGCTTGCCGCAGAACACAGCTGCTGCAGAACTGCGAGAGCACTTCGAGGTGCGCAAAAAAGTTGTCCTTCTCGCCAAACATGTGGAGAGCCACATTTACAGTTTTAGCCATGGCTACGTGGTATCTGATCTTCTTGCATTGCAGGCATGCCAGTGTAAGTAGAAGGTTTCTCTGCGACACGTCGTCACTTGCAGAAGCTGCCAGGCCTTCGGAACCGTGTCTGATGCGGTGGTGATGTGCCACCTGCGAGATTAATTGCAAATGGGTACTAGTAACAGGCAGGACAAGGATCTCAGGCAGAACTTTGAGGCAGGGTCCAGCAGAGGTCTTGCAAAGCTGCTCGCAATGCCTTGTTTGCGAGGGGTTCCCAATGATCTGAGAATGCCTGGTCCCTTGTTCACCCAGTGGTGGCCTTTTCTGCCACCTCGTCGGTCTTGTCTTGGACGTCAGTGCTTCAAATTTGTCACGCTGTATCAGATGGATGGTGAGTCAGAATGCTTGAGGTCTTGCAAAGCTGCTTGCAGCGTAACATCTGCAAGGAGTTCCCAATGACCTGACAAAGCTGTCACGTCCATTGTTCACCCGCTGGTGGCTCCTCATGCTACCCTGTCGGTCTTACCTTGGACAGCACGTTACCAGGGTTACGCTTACAAGCAGTATGTAACCACACCGCTAGGAAAATCATGGGAAAATCGATTCGTCATGCCCCGACTTGCAACTTTGACGGTCAAACCTGGCCGACTTCCAACTTCGGACGTCCGGGTTTCCGGCCTCGGCACGTGCGAGACTTGCAACTTCGACCGTCAAACTTGCAGGTGGGGCAGTTTGGGTTTTGCCCGAACACCTCGCATTCTGAAGCTTGTTCGCTTCACTCTGAATCTTGAGAGGTCATGCAAAGCTGCTTGCAATCCATCGTTTGCAAGGAGTTCCCAATGACCTAAGAAGGAGGAGTGGTCCATTGTTCACCTGCTGGTGGCCTTTTCTCTGCCACCTCGTCAGTCTTGTCTTGGACATCAGAACTTGTGAGCTGCAAGGGCCTGCGAAATGCACAAACTACATCATGATGCAACTTGCAAAGCTGCCGCAGAGGGTGCAATTGTGGATGGAATCGTAGATCTGGATTTCATCGATCAAATCCTGCACAGTTCCTCATTGAAGCGTCAACCATTCCCGGGCAACCCTGTATCTCCATGATTCTCCATGTTCCCCGAAAGACAGGATCGACCCGGCCACCAACCGCTCTCGCGGCTTTGGCTTCGTGTGCTTCCTTCCTGGCCAGGAGGCAATACTGACACGGTTTTGCGGGAGAGTTGTGCCGTCCAGGAGAAGTCTAGGGAGTCCGAAGCACAACCCGGTCCCTTGATTTCAGGGGGCAGCTTCTGCAGCATTCGCCCTGGAGCAGCGTCTCTGCGGCACTGTGGAACTTGTCTGCTGCAATCGTGAGGCCACGTTCTAGGTCCAGTTGCAGGTTGCTAACGTGAAGCTGAGAAGGGTATTTTGAAGCATTTGTGCTATGTCAGTGTCACAGCTCATGGGTGTTGACATCCGAAAACCAAGCTTAGGTACGAGCACCATCGGATTCGCGGCAAGTGGATTGAGGCTGCCTGAAGTCTGTTTGTTGCGTTCGCTGCCATGTGCTGCCCTAGCCGAGCACGTGTTGAAGAACCTCACTGTCGTTGATGTCACCGTGGCCACAGGTGAAGAGCGCAGCGCCTCCGCACAAGCTTGCAAAGGCGGGCATGCTCTCACTTGCCTGGCTCAAGCTGACAGACGACATGTTCGTGCCATGCCGTTGCTCCAAAATCTCCACGTATGTTTCATCCGCCGCAAAACCAGACGCCAGGATGGGGCAGCCTCATCACCTTCCGCGGCCTCGGAGTCAGGCGGCATGGCATCCTGGTGAATTTGGCACTCCAAGATTCTGTACTTCCATTCCTGAACCCCTGAAATTAGCACAGACGTTGTGAGCCCCAAATTCTTGATGCTAAGTTCCAATCTTTGTGTCGAGCTCCAGGTCCGGGGAACTAGCATCGGCAATGCAAAGGCACAAGCTTTGTGCAAAGCGTAGCTCAAGGCTCAAGCTGAAGCCGAAGGTTTTGCCCCAAACCGAGGGATTTTTTGTGCTTGAAATTCTGCAGAACTGAAATGTCGGGCACAGATGTCCATTTCTTCAGCGATGTACCAGAGGCTTCGATAGAGGGGCATGAAGGTCCCTTGTGGACGCCTTGGGCCGTTCAGTGGTGGGTGACATTGTTCAGCATTGCCACATTCAACATCGCAATGTACGCATGCATCATCTGGCGCTACAACTCATCCTTCTCTACCGATGCAGCGGTCAAGGCATATCAGCAGTTCATGCTGTCAGTGTGTGGCCCTTACGTCTTTGTTTGCGCGTACCGCTCCTACATGCCAGCACAATATCCTTTGCGGTACGTTTGGTTTGACACGCCACTGTCGAGCATCCTGTTGGTGCGGAGTTTGGCTGCAATAGCTGAGATGTGCTTCGTCGCACAAATCGCGAAGGCGCTTTCCTTCATCGAGAACCAGGTGAACGAAACCAATCAAAGTTGGGGCAGCTGCTGGCATTTCCTTTGCCAGTCTGCTTCGGTTGCAATGGTGGTGATCATTTTTGTGGCTCAATGTTGTTCATTCGCCGGAACCATCACGAAAAGCAACGAATGGTATGCATATGAGGAGTTCAATTGGGGCTTGGCCTTCGCAGTTGGCATGCCATTCTTCCTGGTGCTTTCCTACCAGGTGTTTCAGCTTCGGAGAGAGGCCAATACGAAGTGGACTTGCTCCTGCAATGCCATGGTGTACGCCGTGGGGATGAGTGCATTTTGCATTGCCTACGTGCCCTACATGTTCATCACCGACGCACCCGAGTATTGGCAGCGCTACCAAGACCAGCTGGCAGAAGGTTTCGAATTCCTTGGCTTCTGGGAAGGTGTCAAGGATGCCGCCTGCACTCGCCATCACACCCACTTGGAGGAAGTTTGGGAATACGCCACCGTTTGGCAGACAGCTTACTTCAGTGGAGCAGTGTGGATCAGCCTGCTGTTGGCCTTGGCCCCAAAGCTCGAGGTTACAAACACCTTCAAGCAGCTTCTCGGCCAAGAAACTGGTGGAAGCACAGGTTTGATGGACAAGAAGTGATATCGTCTCAACTGTTTCAAATCAAAGTTCCGAGCTTCATATCATACAGAACTTTTACAGGTTTTAATGTCACGCTTCATGCAGCAGCCTGCACAAGGCGGTTGTTGCGTCCAGCTTGTGACTTGTGAAGTTTTTTTTGTGTAGCAATTTTGTTGATGCCTCGCTCTTTCCAAAGGGAAGACGGGGGCTTGATGGAGGGAAAGGAAGATGTAGTCACTGAAGCATCAGATCTCATCTCAATTCCCCAGCCTTGCTCAGAGCAGTGAAGAGGCCTTGGACTGCAAAAAGCAAGTCGGGCGTTTGGGGAAGGAAACTGCAGGCTAAAAGAATGGGCAGAGAGAAACTGATCCAAACAAGAGAACGCTCTTCTGTTCAAGCCGAGCCCCGCACCGACTCACCAAACTTCTGTCTTCGGCTGTTGCGCTTGCTCCATGCAGGTCTGCCGTAAATCTGAACTCTTCCTACTTGCAAATCCCGGAGTCTTTCATATTTCTTTCGCCTGGACGAATGGATTGTCAGGAGGGCCTCAGCTTTGTCTGTCTTCGCCCGCAGCCTCGCCGACTGCCAGCCCGTTGGCTGGGATCCTGGTTGTAAAAAGAGCACAGCTTGGTCGTTTTGAGCGTTGGAATTGGGGGCTGGTGCTTCAAGCCGTATCTAGCCCACTCTTTGGTTCAACAACTGCTGCTTCAGGCGGGAAGTCCACAATCTGGCACATCAGCTGTTCGACCCCTGGCACCAGGTGTTCCGGAGTTTCTACCCTATCTGAAGTTTTGAGTTATATATGGGTTATATAGGATTATATAGGGTTATATATAGGGGTTATATTGGGATATATTGGGATAATGGAAAAGAAAATGGAAACTACTATATTATAATAGGGACCTGGCCAACAAAAGTCCCACCATTTCCTTGAGCGGCCAGCCGCCATCTAAGGTCCGTGCTTTGAATGCAGCCCATTGCCTTCATTTGCATAGTATATTGGGGTAATATTGGGATAATGGAAAATTAAATGGAAACTACTATAGTATATTGGGGGTTTATAGGGATAATGGAAAAGAAAATGGAAGCTACCATAGTATAATGGGATATTTTATTTTGATGTTCAGTGGTCAGACTATCTCACACCCAAGCCGAAGCACTTCATTCGACCATGCATGTGGATCATTAGATTTCACTGACATTCCATTTCATCGATTCGAGGCTGGATTCTGGCGTGTGGAACATGTGGCTAGACCATGGGGTGATAATTTTGGAAAATCTGAGCCTATTCTCACTGCAAAGGCGACGCCGCAGGTGATGTCACTGGCGCAGGCACTCCGCATGCCCCTGAAGGGCCAAAGCCCCACCGCCCGGGATCCCAGAGCCCTCATGAGCCCACCGTCAATGTTAGCACCAAGGATCTTTGCAATCCATCGCTCATTCTGACGTTGCTCCTTTCTGAGGCTGGCCCACAGACGCAGGAACGACCCGTGGCCGGACCCACAGCCCACAGCGTGTAAGTCCACTTTGAGATGTTCACACAGATGCAGGGCAGGTTCATCGGAAAGCATGGGATTCATAGGTTGCTGAAGTCATTTAAGCGTGGCTGTTTGTGTAGCCAAATGTGTTTCGTACTGCAAGCATGTTGCACCTGTCTCTCTCAGGCCTCACCGCAGCACCGCAATCGTTCCGTGCGCAACGTCGGCCTGCCCTCGAAGTCGCTTGAGCCGCAGAAGGCCAGGGGCAACGGGCAGTCTCCAGCAGACCATCAGGATACATGCCGGAACGCAACAGACCGATTTGCAGATGGTGGTGCTGGGCTAGAGGCAGTGAATTTAAAACAGCCACTCAAGATCCTAGGCTTGGGATAATCGCGCAGCATTGTTAGATCCGCGTCATGCTTCTTTTGTTCGGTTGCGCTCGCTGCCTCGTAGAGGTCATGCTGCCCGGAGCTGTGGGAAGCCCTCCGGGACTTGGCGCCACGGCTGCCGCAGCGCTGGCCGCGATGTGCGCCGAGTCATGTGGATTCGGGTTTTTGGAATTGAGGAGCGATAGGAGCGGTGCTTTGCAGCTGTCCCGGTGCTTTGCCCATGGGAGGCGTGCCCTTGGCTCGCCCCCGGGCTTGGAGTCCCCAGAGGACGCAAAGGCGGAGCCCGAGGCATGTCCCTGGAGCCTTTCACCTAAGTGAAACGAAAAAAAACAACTCACCTCAACAAAGACAGCTGCTCGGCCAGGCTGAGAGCCTGGATGAGCCCGCAGCCTCAGCCATGCTCATTCCATTCACACTCACAGTTTGCGCCTGGGTCCTGCTTTATCCTGGTCTAGGTCAGCTGGTCTGGAAGCCCTGCCCGCGGCAATCAGCGCTGCCGATGCGTCACCTGAGCCCGGAGCCCACAGATCTCATAGATCTCCCACGGACAGCCAGTTCTCATGTTTTTAAAGCTGCTGCACAGCACATTGGAATGAATCCTCCCTCCGCTTCCACGAACAATTTCTCAGCATCTGCATGATGTTCAAAGAGGCCCTTGCCAGGTAAACGTAGGGCTCGGCAATAGTGCTGAGAGAGGATGTCGAGGGTAGCAGAATGAAAGACAGTTCCTGATTTCTTGGTGCCAAGGAGCTGTTTGACGGCATCCCCCACGAACCCCTCGATGACTGGGGGTGAGTCAGACACAGAGGCTGGCTGCGAACGGTCGTACAGCCTAAGCTGGTTGCTTTCAACACTCGTCCTCCAATCGGGCCACTCTCCAGACAAGCTGCTGCACAGTTCAAGAAAGAATGTTCAAGAAAGGATGCTCAAAGAGAGCCTTCAGTTTGACAGCGAACAGCACCAGCCCTGCAATGCAGTGCCACAATATCTCACAGCCCTGACTGACTGGACATGCCATCGTAGTTTTCTTGCTGTCTCTGATATGTCCTGATATACATGCTGAATCAACTGGACCTCCCAAACCTTATTCAGGGCGAGACCCACAAGCTGGGCGAACGGCCACGCTGGCGCTTTCTTGGTTCTGTACGGCAGAAACAGTGGTGTCATGGCTGTCAGAGGTTTCAGTGGCTTCTCCGAAACTGATGCAACTGAGTGGCGAGCAAAAGTTTCGCAGCCATGTCAGCTAGGCGACTCCTCGATGTCAAATCATGGTTGGTACTGCTAAGCCCTAAGCATTTTAGGCTTGTAAATGAAGTACTGTTAGACCCTGAGGCTGTCAGTCATGTCTCGCGATCACCAAAAAAATGCCAGGAACACTGTCTTCTCCAACAGCTTCGAACTGCACAGGACTGCATGCAAGTAAGGCTTTCCAGCGTGCTGCAGCTCAGGTCGGTGGCATCAGTATACTGCCTAAAAGTAAAAGAGCTGGGCCATGAAACAGCAATGTAGTGACCCTGCAGACCTCAGCCTCCTACTCACTTCTGAGGAGCTTGCAGCAGCTTATCCGTCTGCGAGCAGAGGGTGTCCGGTTCCCATTTGCTTGAACGGGCATTGAAGCATCACGAGCTGTACACCTCGATGATTGACGGTTCCCGTAGCCCGTAGTATTGCTGGGTATCTGACGGGGACTTTGAAGACAGCCCAGGCCGAGGCAACTTCAAGCAATTAATTCAGGAGCAGGTCGTGATGCCTTGCCCCCAGATGTGCCAGAGAAGCTTCTGTTCTTGTGATCATGTCAATCATGGCAAGAGCACTGCTGCTCAAACAGCGCAACCACCACCGGCGCCCGCCGAAATCAACACCAGCAAGTGCCACCAGCGGTCCAAATAGCGGCGCTATTCCTCATAGTGGACAAAAGAGCACAACTCTCAGCACTGGCCCAGGGCTCCTGCTTCCCGTAGATCGAGCAGGGGAGCGGCGGCCTCGGCTGCACGGGGTTGTAAACAGTCATGGTTCTAGGCTTGGCAATGCTGGGAAGAGGGCGCGGTGACACGTCTGGCTGACTCCTCCCCTGCATCATCGAGAGATCTAGAGGATTGAGCAACTTCGAGGTTTGAAGCTGCTGTAGCCACTCTTGACACAGCTCTTGGTGGACCTAACTCTGCTCTTGCACTCTGTCGTTTCTGGTAGACTGCTTGCTGACTGGCTTGCTTCTGGCCGCGTTTCCCACCACCCTTGCTTCCTTGCTTCCCCGTCTGTCCTCGCCTGATCACAGATCTCTGCCAGGCTCAGAGAATTGGAAATTGGAAGCGGCTGACCTGCGCCCAGCATAGGCAGCCAAGAACCGTAGCAGAAAGGGCTTCACTTTTGTTGTAGTCCTTGCCTCGCCTGGTCAAGCAATCTCGAGGCAGCAAAGGAGGAAGAACAGATAACTTGACTCGAAGGTTTGGCCAGAGCACGTTGATGAACCGTTGATGCTCACACCTGCGGGTGGGCACTTAATTCGCAATAGCTTTGAGAGCAGATATTGCACGCACCCTTCGGGGAAATGCCGAGATGGCCAGGGCTCCACGAAACAGTCACTTCTCAGGACTTATGGGCCCACAGACTGAGTATCTACCTACGCTTTGGTGCGCAACTGAAACTAGAATACGTGATTTTGGCCCCCAATCCTTGAGAAGCGTGGCGTGATGCCAAATTGAGTGATAACAAGACAGCTACACAGCATAACATAATGTTTGCCAGCATTTGCCAACATCTTTGACCGCTTTTACAGGTTGGACGCAAGTTCCCGTCCATGTTTCGGAACGAGGCCAAGGTCGCTAGGGCAGGGAGGTGCCACCCAACTGTTACCCAACTCTTGCCATCACATCTAGAGCCTAGACTGACCCTCAAACTTAAAACTATTTTTTGGTTTGTGAAGGGGAGAGGAAGGAGAAGCCGGCACCTTCTTGACCAAGATCGCGAAGAAGCACCTTCGCAATCGTGCAAAGCCGCCAAACGGCTTCTGCACAGTAGTTGCAGTCGCAGGTTTTCTGCATCACTAGCTGGAGCGCTTTGACTTTCGAGTTTAGGAGGCAGCGTGCCCCTACGAAGGTTCAAAAGTATGGGCCTTTGAAGAAGTCGGTGCTCCTGTAGGCGTTAATTGATCAGCGAGGGCAGATGAGGCAAGCATAGCTGCCTGCTTTCAGATAGGCCGATGTGTTCTCCGCTGCCAATTCTGGAGAAGTCAGATCCCTTCGAGAAGTAAAAGGAGTAAAGGACCGGGAGCTGCTTGGGAGTGATGCATCCTGATGGCCAGCCCGCGCTAGTCGTGGCATGAAGCTGATCTCCGCTGGAGGAGTTCAGTCGCTTTGTTTCGCATGGCCTTTGGTGCCGAACGTGTCACCCTTGCTTCAGTCAGACTTGATGGCTGCAGCTGACATGCGTGCTTTGCTCACGCGTGGCAGCAGAAGTGTGCGCCAGCAGCGCCGGCAGCTGCTATGCCGAGATAGGTATTTTCTCGCCACGAAGCCCGGAGTCTGTCTGAGAGCTGCTCAAGGCAGTACTGCAGTAGGCCTGGTGATGCAAGACGCTGCTGAGAGGGGAACTGGCGGCTGACTTTTGTGGTGTGAGGTCAGGTCTTTAGTCTCAAAACTGGAGGTGGATGAAGTCGCCTTACCTGAGCTCACACCGCACCTGTCGGCTAAGACCCTCGTTATGGCTGTTGCCAGGGTCTTGCGCCTGGGTGTCCTTTTTTTAGGCTTCTGTTTGCTTCGCTTGCGCCGATCATGGTCCGGACCTCAGTGATGTGCTGCTGTGCCAGTCAAGTTGAGCTTCAAGCGTGTTGTGTCAGCAGCGTAGCTGGTGGTGTCTCCATGTTCCGAAGCTGAGCGAGTGAGAGCAGCGGAAGCCAAGCTTGCCCTGTGTGCAGTAAACGCCCTTCTACTCTGCTGCCTCAGGAAATGACGTCGTGCGAGTCCTTAGGCAATATGTGCAGGAAGGTGAAAAGTTCCGCAGTGCAATTGATCCGTATGCGCGGTATTCGCAAGGTTGGTTATTGCTGGGCCGAAGAATCAGATCCAGTGCAGGTTGCATGCAAAAGACTTGTTTGGTATTACCTCTTTGAAGTCAGATGCTTCGTTCACGTTTGCTCAAGCCAGTTTCAGAAGCTGACTCATAACGGGGCTGCTAATAAACCAGTCTCCAGTCTCTCAGTCAACCAAGTCCCTTTACCAAGCTTGAAGCTGCCGCTCTTGCAGCCAATCTTTAGCAAGGTCTCACTGCAGCACAGAAAAATCCATGGAATTGCCTGGGCACAGCCCAAAATTTACCTGCAGAGCTCCAAATTCCCAGACTTTTGCATTCTGCAATTCTTCTGAGCCACAATGCCGCGGCGTGGAGCCGGCAAAAGCACGCCGGAGCCGGTCCCTGCCTCTGAACTCTGAAGAAAAGCAGCAAGAAAACACGGGTTCGAAGCGGTAGAAAGAAGTCCAGGAGCCGTTGAGGTACTCAGTAGGACCGCTGTAGGATTCTGTAGGACTTCTCGCATATGCCGATGACATGCAGGAGCCGTTGAGCACATGCGTTGTTCTTGCAAAGTGACCTTGCGTTTCGAACGTGGCCGCGTGGCTTACAGACGCGTATAGGATCCGTGGTTGTTTTTGCGCAGCCTTGATACCTTTCGACTCTCTCTCCGAAAGATGCCTGTCGGTGTGATCCTCAGAATCCTCACGAGGTTTGGAGTTCACATTAGAAGCCTGAAATGGAGAGCTTGCCATTCTACTTCAGGTCTCGGAATCAATGGCTTTGGCCGCATTGGGCGCTTGGTGTTCCGCGCTGCCATGTCAAACCCGGACGTTGAGCTCAAGGTTGGCTGTCGCCTTTCCTCTGGTTGACATAAAGGGCTGAAAGATCTCATGAGACGTGATGGGCCTTTTCTTCAGCTGCTGAGCGGATTCTAGGGTTGGGGCACGGCACGCAGGCCATCAATGATCCCTTCATGGACTTGAAATACATGGCCCCTTGTCGCAAGGAAGATGTGCCCAGCTGTGCAGCTGTAGTTGGTACTTCGGAGCTGCCGAGGTCTATCAGCTCAAGTACGACAGCGTTCACAAGATGTTCAATGGAACAGCCGCCTGGCATTAGATCATGGTTAGAGTCTAGCACGCTGCCCTGCGGCTGGGGACTGCTGCATGGGTTTCAGAAGGTTCAGCTTGGGTACGTCTGCTGCTGCTAGCCGCCGCTGGGGTTGTGCAACAGGTGGCGTGCAAGGAGGAAGGCGGCAAGGAGTATTTGGCTCCTTGTCGGCACCAAGGGTGCACCAATTTGTTTTTGGT